TTGTAGTCTTCAGGATTCGGGAGCAGCACTCTGGAGGGAGCGCTGCGTTAGAGTAGTAGTAGCGTTATCTTGTAGTCTTCAGCGCTGGGCGCAGTGGGTAGCTGTAGTCTCCAGCGCTGGGCGCCATAGCTAGGATAGTGGTAGAGAGAGAGAGAGAGAGCTTGGCCGGAGGCCAGGAGTACCTACCTGCAGCGCCGTTGCTCCAGCTTCATCTTCGAGGTACCTGCAGCACAGCGCCACATCACAGGTTAGTACCTGGTTCGTAACAGTGAGAGAGAGAGGGTTCTTCTTCCTCTTCTTCTCAGKCCACCATCTCCTCCTCTCCCTCTCAACCCCTGACTTCACTGCATTTGCAGACTGCGAGAGAAGAGATACCGGGGTTGGTGATATCGGATCCAGACTCGACTTTTGGGGACTTCAGACATGGCAACGAGGGGTTATTTGGGATTGGTGACCAAGACTTGGTGTTAACGACAGTCCCATCTCTCCCCCCTCCTTTCGTCTGGTCCTTACCTCTTCGTCTGTGTATGTCTGGACCTGGCGCTTTCTCCCTKTGTGCAGCGCCAGGCTCCTTCACACCTGGYGAGGGATACGATGCATGTTTAGTCTGAGTTCAAACATTGATTGGGCTCGTGATTGGTATTCTAGCATTCTGCTTCGCTACTTGTACTACGTGTGTGAGGTCAGTTCTTGTCAGGTCAGTCTTTGTATCTAAGTCTTCCCTGCGCTATTCAGTACTTTTGTATGTATGAGAATGCACATTGTCTGTCGAGATTCTACTCTCACCGCATTGTCCATTTCAGTCCTTTTTATCACACTGCAGTTCCTCGGTTATTACGAACATCACATATCTGTGCATGTAACACTGGATGTCCCACACGCAACGCGCAACACTCTGCACTTACACGCGACACACACACACACTCACTACTAACTACAGCTATGGCAGCTGTCGCTGCTTCTAACCTATCGCTTTGCTAACTCCCTCTCTCTAGCCCTCTGCGTCCTCCGGGCTCATCTGCAGACCTCCGTGCACAAGTCGCTGTGGCAGCGCTTCCGCATGGCTCACGCAGGAATGAAAAATGAACGGCTGGGCGCTGCCTCTTGATTTATACTTCAGMAACTCGTTGGTCTGCCCTTTGCCATCGGCCCTTGATGCTCGTAGTCCCCCTGTGGTACTTGCTGGACCGGACTGGGACTGACTGGACCCTTCGCTGACTGGCTGTGGACTCACCGCTATCCTACCGACGTTGTACTGCTGTTGCACTGCGGTTTAGTCCACCACTTGCCTCACCACTTGCCCACTTGCCTACCTTCTAGAAGGTCTACAGCTAAGCTTCCGGAACTCACTAAGACTCCTACGCTATAGACCTACAGATCGAACCCCTGCTGCCTATGGACCTACGACAGGCCTACCAACTGCCTACGAATACACAGGTCACAGGTTCAATTCTCGCTGTCTACGCAGATACTGTACATGGGTAGGGTGAGGTCTAGGGATCGAACCCTGGGTACTGCATCCGCCACTGCTAAAAGGTGAAAACCGTTTCAGAACGTGCAGCAACAATGATGTCGTGGTGTCAATCAAATGGAAACTGGGTCCTGTAATCTGATGGTTGTGCTATGATCTTGGTCAGCTCACAATGCACGATTCAAAGATGAGACACTGTCGTTCATCACATCTCAGATGAAAAAAGGAAGGAAAGAAGAATGAGAGAAGATAAACACAAGCTGGAACCAATTGATCTCTCCCTCGTTTCGCCTCCAACAGCTCACCTCCAAGAGCTTATTAATAATCATAATCAACAATAGTGAATGGATGAGCAATGGCCGATTGTTCCCCCTACTGCCAGCCTTGCAAATAGCCCTCCTTTGGCTTTCTTCACTTTTCCTTCCGCCTGGATGTTGCCACTGGCTATGGCGGTACACCCAAAGTCTGGACCGGGTGTTCAAAGAACAGCGCAAACTCTTGTGTCCACTTCACTCAGTCTGCCCAACCGGTACTCTTTCAGGGGCTTCCTCGAAGCAGTGTCAATCTGGGAGATGATGATCTCTACTGCACCATTGCCCTGCTAGAGGTCCTTCTCCCTCACCTCCGTAGCCCACGACGACCTCTACCTCTCCCTACCGCACCTCCATAGCCATGCAAGTCTTCTACTCCGCCCTCCAGCTCCACCTTCAACCTCCAGGAGCTCCGTCACTTCTCCCTCTTGGTGGAGCAGCAGCATGACTGCCAGGTGAATGAGTGGAATGGTCATTGCACAGAATGATATACTTCGGCTGCCCGGCCTCCAGTACCTCTTGGCTGAGCACCACCGGCTATACTGGTGAACTAGGCCTACTGTGTGTTCCCTCCTTTTGGCGGGGACATCATTGTGGACTGATATCTACCTATAGACACTGAAGCTAGACTTCTACCGCGACCTACATTCAGGACCTGGACCATCATTACCTACTGGACATCTAGCAGACCGCTCCAGGCCCAACCAATTTACTTGACAACCCCTACCAGGCTTCTAACAAATTCTACTTGAGCCCAAGTCTGTCCTGGCCTTCCACAAGTCTGTCTGGCACCATTTCCTGCATGTCCCTCTCGTTTGACCTACTAGCTACCTTGTCCCTGTTCGAGCATGGCCACACATCACAGCCAACAGAATTAGCACATGGACCCGGTCCGGGACTCAGGCAAGCACACAACACATACGATAGTCGTAGGTTATACACGTACTTGGAAAATGCAGCGAAACGGACTTTGCAGAAATGAGATCAAAACGCAGCTTTTTCTCAGAAATTTCGGAAATCTCAGACAACCCTTTCTGCGGGCCATTCCAGTTGCTAATCGTATTGAGCCTGGTGGCATTGCCTTGAGACCCGTAACCCTCTGTTGCTAGAGGAGCTGTGCAATAGGTGACGATGTGCAGGTTGATGATGATGCTTGTGAACATATCAAGAAGCTCACACATTGTGCAGTCAGACTTGTCAAACTTCATGCGTGCATGCAGACACTGAACCAAGCTTGCAAACTCAGAGAAATGGCCTTGGCCTGAGAACTTGAACTCAAGTCAAAAGTTACAACTATGGCCACTGCCACACGGTCTCTGAAGCCTCGAACAACACAGTCTCCACTCTTAGCCTCGTCCTCACACTTGCACGCACGCACTGAAGCCTCGAACAACACAGTCTCCACTCTTTGCCTCGTCCTCACACTTGCACGCAGGCACAAGTATCCACCCTGAATGTCCACTGTACACACACACACTGTACACTAAGTTGACGTCAACAGCTCGGTGGCTATGGCCACCGCCGTCTCTCTCCTCCTAGCTATGGCTGTCGTCTTCATCCTCGCCCACTTCGGCTACGGGCACCTCGCCCAACAGCTCAGTGTACGTCGGCCGCCCTAAGTGAAGGCAGGCTCGACGAGGGCCTGAGGGCCCCTATCTCGGTCACCACGCAACTGTGGAAAATTCAGGCAGTTGCGCAGCGCCAGTTGGTTGAAGAGCAYCCAGGCCCAGGCCGCTTGTTTRCATGTATGGAAGGCAGGCCCTGGGCTGGATACGGGATATGGGCCAAACACAGGCCGAGGACAGTTGGGCACAAGTAACCACCACAGGCCCTGGGCCTGATTCGTTTGGACCGGGCCTCAGCCTACCGGGGCCTACCGGAAGCTTCTTGGGAAAAGGCCCAGCACAGCCTGGGACAGAAGGCAGGCAGGCCACTTGCATATAGCAAAGGGCCTGCCTCCGCATTTGGCATTCGGGTGCTGGCTGCATGCTGCGCAAGCGCTGCTGCGCTGAAGCTGGCTGGCGCTCACGCGCTCACGGGCGAGCAGGAAGGAGCAGGCAGCCATAGCCGAGCTGCGCTGCTGTGAGCTGGATGTGGCGCAGGGTGGTCCTTGGGTGCATGTGGCATCTGTGTGTTGGGGAAGGTTGTGAGTGATGCGAGAGACATACCTGGTGCTGGAAACGTGCGGCATTGGCCGCTATCTGCTCGTACTTCGGGAGAGCTGTTGTCGTCATCTTCGGCATTGTAGTATAGGCTAGATAGGATCTGCCATCTGTAGTCTGGGCGCCGAGCGCCAGATAGGATATCAACATTGGTTTTTCGTTGATGATGATGAGGAGACTATTCCAGCATTGTCAATTATGAGCTTTTGGTGTACGCTTATTTGGTGAAACTCGTGATGCAATTCTGCTATTGGTTCGAGGTCACGACTATCTGGTCTTATGTGTGTGATGCTGTTTGATTGCTGAAGTTCGCTATTGCTTATCTTCCTTGCACAAGGTGTCCTGTCCAAATTTTATGGAGTTTACTATTTTTTATTGTGGTTTCAATTAACACAATTGCGATGTCCAGTCATCACATCCTGGAGCTGGAGAAAACGTAGCCTTCTCTCCTCTATTGAAACTTAAGAGGTAATAAACGAGCTCAAAACGGTGAAGGCATAAATTACAAGGTCGAGTTAACGCCGTGGTAAAGTTGAGCCCTCTCTTCTTTCACACTTTGAACGAGTTTATGATCTTCAGGTTTAAGATTTAGCTTTATCTTCGGCTGTCGAATGCGCCTTCAAGAATTTGACCATTTCAAGTTGCATGCTCTCCTTATGACTCGTACACTGTTAGAAGACTTCAACAGTACAGGTACAGGTTTCCAGAAGGGCCCTAAGTAAGCCAGACGGTAAACATACTAACCAGCTACTACGAAGATCTGTGGATTGAGTCCTAATCAGCTAGCGAACAGACCTGTTAACTAACCTACGGGTTTAGGGACAGGTCGCGGTTTCAAATCTCATGCAGAACACGGGGTCAATGTACAGGGTTTAGGTGTAGGTCTGGGAATCGAATCTCGATGTCTGCACTCGTGGGTCAGACTGGGTGAAACCGTTTCAATTGATTTGATTTGCTATTCGTCGCAAGAGGAGCTGTGCAATAGGTGACAATTTGATTTGATTTGCTCTTTAATGAACCCAAATCAAGAAGCTCACAAATTCTACAACATCATGCATGTATCTCATGATGATCAATCATTGACATCACCAAGCGACAGCAACTAGACACGAGTCTAGGTAGAGGAGGAGGATAGTTTCCAATAATATTGTCGCCTCGCCTTTCCCCTACTACCTCTAGGCTTCTTCTACCTCTTCTTGCCAATCCGTTGTCATGCGCCTGTGCCTCTACTGATGATGAAGGTGGTATGTCTCTCACAAGCACCTGACCAGTTGGAAAAGGCAGTCTCCACTGTCTTCAGAAGGGAACTGCTCTCCCCCAACACAGCACACCACCAAGTAAGTCTCTCTCTCTCTCTCTCTCTCTCTCTCTCTCTCTCTCTCTCTCTCTCTCTCTCTCTCTCTCTCTCTCTCTCTCTCTCTCWCWCACACACACACACACACACACACACACACACACACACACACACACACACACACACATTGCACCCTAAAAATGTGATGTTACATATCTCATGCAAAGTGTTATAGCAAAACAAACCTGAGAGAAAGGGAAGTCGACCAAAAGAGAACAGAGACAGAAAGTCAATGCCTCAGTCACTGGAAGGGCGATTGCCTAACCCTTGCTCACAGACGTCCGTGTACGGGTATGCTGGGCAGTCGCCTGGCCGGGCATGCCTGGCCAGGTGGGCGATGGGGAACTCTCCCGTCAAAACCGGGCTGGTCAACGGCAAGGATCCCAAAAGAAAAGAAAACTGACTTCAGGCCAGGACTGCGGTGGGCCTGAGCAGTTAGAATCTGGCCTTACCTCCCAATTTGGTGATGGGTCGCCCAGGTGGGATTGGAGGGTATAAACATTGACTAGGGGGGTTTGAAAGGGGTGTATCTTAGCTCATGTTTTACACATCGTGTTTTTTCTTGTCCCCAAGATATTTTTGAACTTCTTTTGTTTTTTTCAAAGTAATGCGCTCCGACTGCCCGGGGCTCTGCCCAGACCCCTGCCTGGCCGGGCCCATCCAGTTATTGCCCAGCTGGTTCGCTCAGGGACCAGTGCTGGTAAATGGATATTACATCAAGGGAAATTGAGTGGGCGTGGGGTGTTTGGTCAGTCTTGGTGACTGATTGTGCAATCTGTTTCTTTTCTTTTTATTTGCAAAGTGCAGGTGCTCGTTCGTCTGCCAAATGGACAGCGATTGGAGCGGCGTTTCCATAGCACGGCAACAGTTCAGGCCCTTTATGATTATGTAGACTCTGTTGGATGTCTGAAGACTGAAAACTACAATCTAGTGACCAGCTATCCGCGCGTGACTTATGGGGCGTCACTTCGAAATAAGACACTGCTGGAGGCAGGACTACATCCTCAAGCGGGCCTCTTTGTACAAGAGGAGAGTTAGGTCTGTAAGTGCTTGCGGAAATGACCATGTGATTAGTAGAAGTGACATTTGAGGGATGTGGGCGAGGAGAGTGGCCAAGGAAAAGCTCAGTGATGGTAACGACTTTCTGGTGGGTTCTCTGCTCACCCAAGCTGGGGGCTTGATTTTGTAAGTAGAAGTAATCTGGAGGGCGCATCAGTGGAGGGAGGTTCTTATATGTGCCTTGGCAATTGGATCGGGTCTTCCCCCAAAAGGTATGGATATCAGTGCAAGCACATTGACGCAATCCCAATAACACGCATGGACATGTTTGGCCGTGATAAGGCTCTCTGGTTTGCATGTAGTACCTTGTGCGAACAACCACGCATGAAGTTCCCCATCGGTATAATGAGCAAACACTCGATGACCTATCATAATCTAGTGGTAGCTGGGCAGATTGTAAGGAAGGACACGACATGGAAAAGAAGAACATGAGAAGTCAGATTCTCACTGTAAGTGACCAGCAGGCTGTTGTGTAAGGGCCTGGCGCAGGCATAGGATTTGCTGGGTTACATGAGCCTCATCTTGTTTCTCACATTGCCGAAACTATGCGTGTCTGCATTGATGGACAAGGCAGTGGTGCCGACGGTTGTGTCTTTGCAGTAAGGAAAATGATGTGGCCAGGATGCCATCCCTGTTTTTTGTCTTGTACAGCAATGGCCTTTGCATCTTTGTGAAGGACGTGTTTGTCCTGTTGCGATGGAGAGATGAGCAGAGTGGTCTGCAAATGAAACTGGAAGGACAGCAGGCACATTGTGGCAAGGGTTGTCATGTTGGATTACGTGGATGGCTCTTTGTAAAGCTTCAGTTCCTATGGCACATGGCTGTCGTATTAAGTGGAACATTTGGTGTTGCTGCTATCAGAGTTCAGAGTAAAAATTAAGCTCCCCTGTCCTGCTGATAAGACACACACTTTTGTGTGTGTGCGTGTGTGTGTGTGTGTGTGTGTGTGTGAGAGAGAGAGAGAGAGAGGTGATGTGCAATATCGATCACAGGTGGCTTATGCATGTCAGTAGCGGGGGTAAGTTCCCTGCCTTTGGGGTGCTACGGCATCAAGTGGGTCCCTTGTCGTGTCCCATAGATGTGTTCTTGTTCCTCCTAGTAGGAGTATCTGGCTGATTCTCATCTTCTATTGAAGCAGTCTGACTATGGTCTACTGCCTTGTAATTTCTGGTATATGGCTGATGGTTCAGCAACAGGACATGTCCTGTGCTTCCAGACTTGATTTCAGTGCAGTGGGGTGGTTCCACGAGTAGCTGCTAGTATGGTTTTACCACCCAGGTTAGCGGGTGTGTGATACCATGAAGGAAGGGTGGCATGCTTCCCAGGAATCTGCATGGCAGCCTTGCTGTGTGTGCAATTAAACTAGGATTGGTAAGCCTGGAGTTGTAGTTCTTTATTGATGACTGCATAGAAGAGAATTCAAGTTCTCTTTTGGAAGGAAGTGCTGTTGTTCATGGGATGTGGATGGCAATGCGCCTGTCAACTCCTGCAGGCATCAGCAATGGTGTTGGTGGAGGAGAGGCGTTTCTGACATGTTGATCTGACTCTCGATGCAGCAATCCTGGTCTGCTTTTTGTATGTAATTGGGATCCCCACGTGCATTTATGTATGTGTATGCTTCTGTGCGTTCTCGTGTGTGTGTGTGTGTGTGTGTGTGTGTGTGTGTGTGTGTGTGTGTGTGAGAGAGAGAGAGAGAGGGATGCTTTCTTCAAGTGACTGGGGGCAGCTGTGTAAGTGCTTGCTGTCATCAGGGAATACGTGGAAGGGGGCACTCCCATGTTAATGCGATATGCGGCCATTGCGTATGGGTTCACCTGCTATTGGGGAGATTGTGTCGTCTTTGCAATGCCTCACACATGCAAAGCTATATGTTCTGTAGTTCCCATTTTTCACACGTGTGAGTAGGCCAACTTTTCCTTGGTGCTGGTTTCATTTCTTATTAGACATGGACATTGTTAAGTTTCGTGATGAGTATCTGAGTAGAACTTGGAGATTGAAGTTCAGTGTCAACAACGCGTCAATGGTGGTGCAACTATGTGTTCCCGAGTCAGCCACGTTTTTTGGGGGGCCTGCCTGAATTCTTCTCTTTGCCTGTGCATCATCACAGGTGCAAGGTGGTCTTCCTTGACTTCCATTCTTTTACCCGATTCTCATTTTGGGAGGGGGTGGGGGCCGGGGGTAATTTTTACTAATTTTCCTTTATATATTGGGCTTATCGAAACGGGTGGAGGAATCTGGATTGGATTTGTTGAACTTCTGAAGTTTTAAATCATTCCTTTAATGTCTGAATGGGCCTGAATCCAAAGCGGTTCCACTAAGCTTATGTGGAATTTTTTCATAAGACCATAACGACATAATCTGGCTGTTATGTCATCTCGATGCATTGAGGGTAATCCTAAGAGGTGTGTAAGCGTTTGAGCACTTTAGTTAAACAAATTGGATTTCATTTATTCCTCAATGTTGATGCCTGGAATATTTTGACGATTCAAATATCAACCTGTGGCCTGTTTCGTAGGTCTTAAATGAGTCAAATGTGAAGGTTCCCTCTTAAGTGTATTTATCTTGGTGGCACTACAAAATAGTTACGAGGTTTAAGTGGGTAGCAATGTTTGTGTTCCGCACTCAGGGAAAGGGAAAGATTTCCTCTCGGTGCTCCCCCACTTGGCTTAATTTTCTTTATTTTAGCGAGTTACAATGCAGAACAGTGACAAGTGCTTATGTGTATGTGGTACGTATTACTGTTCTTCTTGCATGGGTATATTCAAAATTATGTTTGCCGTTTCCGTGACAACGCTTACGTGGTTTGTTTTGTCCTTTTTTTATTTTCACGAGAATGAAGATTAGACTTACGTTTCAATCCTAGTACATTCATGATGCAAAACTCAAATGCGAGAAAATGCATGGCGTGCTGAACTTGAAAGAAGTGGAGAGAAGGAAAGAACAGAAAAGAATGAAGAGCATAGAAGGTGAAGAAGAATTACACATGTTGAAACCATTGTCTTCTCTCTCACCTATTCTACCCCTCATCTCCACCCATCCAACATCTTCCAGTAATCCAATAATCAATTAAATACGATAACAAATGAATGAATGAACAGGAATCATCTCCAAGTATTCCCCCTTACTGCCAGTACTCCAATATGCCTTCTCTCAGCCATAACCTGACTCTTCGTCCCTCGGTTGCACCTCTAACTATGGCAGTGAAAACATGTTCGTTAACTCCTACTATGCCTCTTCCATCTCATCCCGCCATAACCACACTCTCCGATGACGTCCAAGACCAGCCGGTACGCGTACAGGGCCTGCTAGATGCAGCACCAACGAAGGAAGTGGAGATGAAGGTCCATGATAGGCAAATGTGAGTTTCCGATGACTGTTCCCCTCTCTCTCTCCCCCCTCTCATTGTCTGCATCCCTCTGCATGCCGTACCAATGGAGGGAGTGGAGATGGTCTGCCATCGCCAATTGAGTCTCCAATATCTGTTCCCCTCTCCCTCGCTCTCTCTCACTCCCCCTCTCTTCATCTGCACCCTTCTATGTGATGCGCTTCACCCTCTACCTCCATGGCGTACATTCTTCACCCGAATAGAACGCCTGGTGAAGACAGTAGGCCTTCGATGTACTACTACTGCTATTCCATAGCCATGGAGGTCGTGTTCGTCGCCCTTCACCTCCACCGCTCAGCAGGAGCTTTGCCTACCATAACCGCTCTGGGTGGAGCAACAGCACGACTGCCAGGTAATTTGTTGCCTCATTCCATCTGCCAGACTGATATACCCTTGGAGCTCGGCCTTCGGCCTCTCTTTAGCCATGGTACCACACTGCATCTCTAGCATGCCAGGCCTACCGGGAGTTCCTGCCTTTTGGTGGCAACATCATTGCAGCCTGCAATACTACTTCAGAGCCTGAGTCTAACCTGACCCGCTATCTAGGTACGGGCGCTGATCACCCGTGCCCGTAACGATTGTAGGAACTCTGTCCGAACCTACATAACATAAAAATATTTAAATATTTTTATTTTTATTTTCGAATTTTTTTTATGTGGATTCTTCTGCAGATAAGGTACCATAAGTTTTTGTGGCATTTTGACGAGTAGGGAAAAAAAAAAAAAAAAAAAAAAAAAAAATGCCTGGCAGTGTAAAAAATATGCTCTCCAAGTCTCTTTTTGCAATGAAGTCAAAGCGTCTCGTTAGACACTCCAAAAAGTGCCTGTTTTTAGGATTGCCTCTTGGTTGCACACAATCCTAAATCCAATTATGAGATCAAAAATGTGAAAACGGCGTTAGGACGAGTCCTAAAGGATTTAGGATTCCCGCGTTTCACGGACTCGTTGCGTCGCGCGCATGGCACCGTCGACACGGAGTTGCTGGTGCAGAAGCGGTCCGTCGGGTCAGTGGTCGGACATCGGAGGTTTTCTGTGGGTCGACAAGGGCAACGGCCACGAACGGTAGCCGTTGGCGGGGATTGGACGGACATTGGCAGGAATGGACGGACATTGGCGATGCGGCTGCGTACACGCATACGAAAACCGGCCGCGGGAGACCTTTTAGGACGAATCCCAAAAGATGATTTTTAGGATTGCGTGTAACGACGCCGCACGAAATCCTAAAAATCCTTTAGGACTCGTCCTAAAAATTTTAGGATTCTTTTAGGAGTGTCTAACGAGACCCAAAGCCTTTTTTTGAAAAGGCCAGGTTGCTATGTTACCTGATTGGATGTCCGGTGTCGGAGGGCGCGGTGTCCCTGCCCTCCATGGCGTACCAGACGCCTGCTCGCAAACCTCCGTGGCGTACCAGATGCCTGCTCACGAACCTCCGTGGCGTATAAGACGCAGACGCATGCTCACGAACCTTCATGGTGTACCAGACATCTGCTCACTACCTGTGTTTGGTTTTCCCTCTGCAGTGTGTCTATCATACTCAGTGCTCTGCTACAGGACAGTTCCAGTCGGCACTCCCACGACAAAACGTGGGGGTGCGCCACTGTGTTTTCATTTGGTCCACGCAGGCTCGGTGCCCTGCTGTACAGCAGAGCACTACTGGCCTGTGGCCGTGGTAGCCGCTGGGCTCGCCCAGGAATGCGACAGTTAAGAGTCCGGCACGGTCTTTTCAACTCGCGGAGTCCCTGTAGCCAGGTTATGGGATAAGAGTTCAAAAGAGAAAAGAAAAATGTAAAGAAAAGAAAATAAAAGAGGAGGAACAATACGGGAGAAGCGCCGCGTTTCAAATCTGCATCTGAATCTGGACCTCGACTTTAGAAAATGTTAAATCGGACGGTCCTCAACAGTCGCAGCTTTAGGGACTTTGCCCTTTTTTCCTTTTTTTTATTTTATTTTATTAATTCTCTTCTTTATTAAGTCTTTTTTGAAATTTAGTCCCCCTTCCTGTCATGTCACGAGGGAACGAAGGGTTCAATTTTTGAATCATGTTCGTAAGTGGGTGGCCAAGACTGGCCGGCTCTCCGTATTTTGTTCTACAACTTCTACTGCTGGTGCGACCTACTAACCGCCTCGTAGTAGGACCCCAAAAGAGGGGCAGCCCGCAGCCACTTTGGTAGGAGGCTTGTCGCCTCCCGTGGATGGTCATAAGCCCCCTCCTTGCCATCGGACAGGGGTACCCGTTAGAAGTAGAGTCCAATGGCCCCCTCTTAAAGGGAGGGAGAAATTGATCGGTATCCCATTATGGGACCACCACCTGCCAATCTGCCGTCATTCCAATTTGAACCGAGGAGACAGGCGGTATGGACCGTAGAACTACATTCTACAAACGACCGCTGAGTATTTAGGAATTTTGAATAATGTTTTGTTTATTTATATTAAAATTTTATTATAATGGATTGTTTTGTAATTCAAATTATTATTTTATTTAAGATAGCGGTTAGAACACAGGGTACTTAGTGATTCTGAAGTTATAAAAAGATAGTGGTTAGATCATTCTACAGTCGGCCAGCAGGTGCCTGAAAACCTTGTTGCACTAATGCGGTTGCTAGCCTGAGATAGCAGTGTTTATTCGCGAGAGTGGATATCAACGACCATTGGCGTTACAGAAAGGGACTAGAGGGTTACAGGACTGACTGCTGGAGGTTACTGACCCGCTGGTCGTTAGCATCTGGAGAAGGCCGGTGAACTTCGATGGCGACAACGAAGCGAAATTGCGAATTAACGTTGAAGGAGGCCAAGAAGAGGAAATGAGGGGAGATCCAAAATTGCAGACAGCTATAACAGAGGCTAAGAACAGGGTGGAGAGGAGACTTAGAAGGGACCATGTTACTGTCAGGATTGAGGTCACTATTGCTTACCACAAAACAGAGACTTCAACTGGGACTACCAAGAGAGAACAGAGAGACCTGGACCAAGACTCAGAAGCAGATAGCGAGGAGAGGGACTCGACAACTCAGTCCTGGCATGGGCTGAAGCAGTGGCGTCGGGCCCACCCACCTGTGGGGCCAGTAGAGCCGGTGAAAGATGACCAGGAGGCCAGCTTGAGAGGGCAGGAGGGCTAGAACTGCTAGTCGGTTGCAGAGAGGGTCGGCGACTATCAGAAGGAGAACTGGGTTTATGGGGCACGACTGATGTCACTTACCTGGTGCCTGTGTCTTGCGCCATGGGTCGCCTCATGTTTTATCTCTGCCATGTTCAAGTGGAAAACCCTCAATCGTGCATGTGTGGGGGACTAGCAAACGGAGGACGTTGTCATGACAAAGTTGTCCGAGTGAACGGATGAGAGAGACTATCCCAAGTCACTCAAGAGGGACAAGCGATGATGGGCGTGCTCCCCGTCTTGTTGACGTCAACTGCTTCTTGAGAGTGATCATTGTTCTTCGCTAGCGAGCCTTCTCTTTTGAGGTGGACGAGTCGAGATGAGATGTTGGACGTGCTTCAGGATCATGCTGAGGCATGGGATGTACTCGGCTGTCTTCTAGGCTACGGTGTGTTTGGCATAGTCTGTTTGTTTGATCACTCGTCTCCATCGGGGGATGGGTGTGTTACAGCAAAAGGATAGTGGTGCATTTAGATGTCTTCGGAGACCCAGACATTGACGAGAGAGAGTGCAATTACACATCGTGGTTGGCTCCGCAAGGCGTCACCCGTTGCGCAGTCTGTCTTACCCTTTCTTGCCAAAGTGACGAGGCCGAATATGAGTGCATGAGGTATGTACTAGTAGCGCGCCTGGGGAAAGGAAACAAGACCTTGCAAGTCGTTCGCTGGACGCGTGAGAACTAGTAACTGATTGATTGCATCTGCACCCTCGCACAACCCCTGACTGGCCATCATCGTATATTTCGTTTTTGTCACAGTGAGAAAATGAGCTTGCTGACGTTATCAACATTACTGTTAGTAATTAGCTATTCCTTCTGTTTCTCGACTTTGATCTGGTGACTCTAATTTGTGGGGGCTCATCGGATAGGTACAGGTATTGGTACTTGAAAGTTGACTTCACGAGACTCGAGCG